AAAAGATTAAGCAGACCAATGTTTGTTTGTTTGATGTATTTGGCATAGGGTCTCACTATGAAGCTTGGACTTGTAGTGATCCTCCTATTTTCAGTCTCCCCAGCACTGGGATTACAGGCGTGCACCACCACACTCAGACTCTATCAGCAGCTCACCATGTCCCAGGAGGAGGGCTAGCACAGCATGCAGGACTGGGGGTCAAACCCTGGTCCCTACGCTTGCCAAAGCAGGCACTTAGTCCACTGAGCTATCTCACGGGCCCTAGTATTTTAAATTATGATCATATGCATGCATACATTTACATATACTTACACAAATATATGCCTACATAGGGAGTATAAGTTTGATTACATATCAAGTGAGGCCATGTATGAATATTTGATTGCAAATCCTCAAACACTACCTAATTAATTAGTAGTACAAGGATGTGTTTTATTGGTTTGAAAGCAGATGCTGATGGTGATCACCCCTCTGTGACACATAAACCACTGAAACAGAAAGATAAAATCCAGTGGACCCTTTATATCCTTGCTGTTGTACTCAGTAATATAGGGTGGGAGCTGGGTGCTGGACTCTCTCCCTAGCACAACAATACTTCAAACCATCTACTGTGGTGCACATCTGTCATCCCAACTACTTAGGAGGCTAAAGTAGGAGAATGGCAAGTTCAAGGGCAGCCTGGGCAACTTGAGGATGTCCTGTCTCAAATTTAATAAAAATAGCTGGGGATAGAGCTCAATGGTGCAGCACTTGCCTAACATATGTGAGGCCCTGGGTTCAATCTCTAGCATTATAACAAATAAGCAGTATGTAACAAATATAAACCTGACCGTAACTACTACAATTATATTCAGCTATCCACAATACTGTTAAAATATATCTTTTTCTATTAAAACATCTTAATCTGGATGTGCATATGCACTGAAAAATGAACAAGTGGTTTTTATTGATTGGTTTTAGGGTTTGATTTAGTGGAGCAAGGAAAAGCCATTATTTTTCTAACACAGGTTGGTGCCATCCTCTCCCCTTCTTCAGAATAAAAGGGTGCAGGCAACAGAGTTGCATTTGTTTATTTAACATGAATCTGTGCAGCACCAAAGGAAACTATTTTTTAAATCATGTTTTAACCTTATCTTTGATATTGAGTATTTTTCATTGTGATGCCTTAGATTTAAGTAATAGTCAAGAGGGAAAAAAAATGATCTGTTAAACAAATGGAAAAGGGCCAGCCAAATAGCTCAGCAGATTAAAGCACCTGCTTAGGCAGATGCAGAGGCAGGGAGTTTGATCCCCAGCCTGCTGTGCCGGCCCTGCTCCCCGGACACGCTGAGAGGGCTACTGAGATTGGGCATGGTGGCACATGCCGCTAATCCCAGCACTTGGGAGGCTGTAAACAGGAGAATCCTTACAAGTGCAATCTACGCAGTGAGGCCCAGTAGACCCTGTAACCCTGTCCTAAAATACAAAAAGAAAAAAAGATTTTTAAAAAATCAGAATATCTCAGTAATAGATACCCTAAGACATCTGAGGCTTTAAGGTCTGGTCCTAAGCTACTTGACCAATAAATGGCAAAGTAAAAATGAAAACATATTAATGGGATATCTCTGGAAAATATTCTTTAGGAGACACTTCCTCAGATGACTGTGCAGCTCAATTTTATTGAAAAATTCAACAATTAAAATTCAATAATGCAAAACAAGAAAGAAAGTAGGTAACTCAAGAGACTGCCTCTTAAGAGCAGTAATACCACTTTTTAAAACAGCTTCTTCCTGACTTTAAATTTCAGAAGTACCATAGTAACACCCAGTGTGACAAGTTCTATCAGTCAGGCCCTTTGTGTGCTCCTGTGTACACCATGATTATCATTTCCAATTTTCCCAATTACTTTGATGATCTGTGGTTCATTTTAAAGATTGAAGATAATTTCTTAATTTTTATAATGAATCCTTTCCTGTTGTGCATTTTCACATAAATAGATTTACTAACTAGTTTAAAAGGAGAGAGGATACTTTCCAATATTGTATTATCCAAACATTTCTCAGGACACCGTTGGCCACTGCAAAAGCTCTAGTGCTCATGTCTTTACCCCTCTCTCTGCATCTTGGAGAACTTCGGGGATTTAAAGGCCTTGCGCACCTGCTCTGACTGGTACTAGTGCCCTCCCGTCTCAGTGTGTGTCCGCGCGTGCGCACGTGAGGATCAGGCCGGTGGCCCAGCGCCACCACACCTGTGGCAGCCCTGTGAGCCCCACTCACCTCTGGCCTGTCGATAATTGATGGTCTGGGGATGGACATCTGAAGAGTAACTGCTTGGAGGGCGGGCTCATCCTCCAGGGTCCCAGGCCCACCCTCCGGGGCCTCTGCAGGCTGGACAGCAGGGTGGTTGATTGAGTTCCGCTTTGCAGGGCCGTTTCGCTTAGCAGAGGTGCCAGATTCTCGCCTTTTCACCGCAGCTTCTGCGCGTCCGCTCTCTCTGACCTTGGGCTGGGCGTAGATGGTGGCATGGGCCTCCGCAGCGCTGGGCTGATCAAAGGGCGCAGGCTCCCGCGTGCTGCCAAAGCAATCCAGCAGCGCGGAGCAGGGGAACGGGTGCATCCTTCCAGACGGGGCCTTCAGCCTCTGGGTGAGCCTGGCTTTCCACGTGGACATGACCCGCGGAAACACATGGCAAAGTCCCACGGGGGAAGGGAGTTTCCCAGAGGATTCTGCGCAGGAATTATTCCCGTGCCTGAAGAGGACTCACCAGGGGCTCGCCCTCGGCAGAAATTGAGGAGGGGGCAGGGCTGCCTGTCTGGGCCCCTCAGCAGCCAGTCCCCTTTCTGAAGTGTCCATGGAGGTGATTTAGCGCTCTTGCTTCCTTGATGCTGTCAGTGGCAAAGAAAGCTGTCTGTAAGGAGTGTGTCTGGCTCGGGTTACTCCCCAGGTAGGCAGAGCTCGGTGAGGTAGCACCAAGTCAATAGACAGCTGCCTCGGGTTACCCTGAAGGCATAAAGATCATGTGGCCTGATAGCATCCGCCATGGTAGCGTCGGCCTGTGTATCAATAACATCATAGCATCAGCAAGACCTTCTCCAGTTACCCTCTTCAAATATTTATCCCCCCAAACAAAACAAAAACCACCCAGTTATCTACCCCAAATGAAGACCCCCCAAAAGGGGCCACGACCCTAGCAGCTGCTTCATTATTAAACCAGGAGGTAGATGTGAATCTTATCCACAGAGACCCATGTGTGAGTCTGATGTCACCAGGACCTGTCTGGATCTTTCCTGAACCTTCTCTCAATCGAGCTTCCTACTGGATCTGGTAACTATAAATAAGTTTTGGTTCCTTTTTTTTTTTTTTTTACTGTGAACATCACATATTATATGATGATTTGTGACAGTACTATAATATGTGTAAGAGTGTTTTGTCCAACTGCTGTATATATTTTCTAATTCTAGAAAGGAAGCCCTGGTTGCACATAGAGCTTCTATTTCTCAACACATTAATAGATGAATGGTGGAAAAAAAATAATAATATTCTAAAGCAACTTAAACCACAGTCTAAGGCAACTTGAAATGAAAATATTTTTCCTTAGCCAAGCACTGCTAGGACTGCTAGAGAAACATAATACTCTAATGATTTTACCATTTACAGTGACTTCTGGATTAATGTTTCAGGGTCTATTACCACTTTAATTTATTTGTTTGTTCTCTCTTTTAATTTAATGTCAAGATGTGTTCTTAAATCCAGACAGGTTGTAGTTATTATGGCAAAATCCCCATTTTATAGAGGCAGAAAGTGATCCTTTGAAATTTCAACAGAGTGAGGCAAGGTTATGGCACTGAGAGGGAGGGTCTGGTTGGAAAGCCAAGTCCCTGCTATCCCACCTGGTCTCTCAGACGCAAACTGACAACCTCCTTATCCGGGCAGTAGCTGCGCTGGCACTGTTGCTCTAACTGGGCAGTCATGTCTATAACCCTCAAAGACAAATATGGCTAAAGAAAGAGTAGACCTAGCACCAAATGCAGACTTACTTCAGTATTTATCAAAAGTTAGAAATAGAATATAAAGAGCTGGTATTTATTCAGAGGTTACCATGAAGCAGCTTTGTTCGAGCCTTCTCCAGGCTGAAGGCACATCTTTAGCTAATCCACAGGGTGAGCAGTCCAAATGCCCTTTCCTGAAGGAGCAAGAAACCCAGGCTCTCACCAGGCTTCTTCACCTGTGTTCCTGGGGAGCCCTGGGAGCTGGGGTTTGTCTCTTGTCTGCCCTGGCTGCTACACTCAGCTCAGGCAGGCTCACTTCATTCTGTGTCCTCCTCGGTCCTCTCCCTTCCAAGCATGCTTGCAGGTAAACTGGGCTCTAGTGGTTAGGAAGATTTTGTTTTGTTTGGGTTTGGTTTAGTTTGGTTTGGTTTGGTCTTTTTGCGGTGCCGTAATTTGAACCTAAGGCCTCATGCATGCTAAGCAAGCACTTTACCCCTGAGTTATATTCCCAACCTTTTTTATTTTGTTTAA